GGAAAATTATAAAAACCAAAAAAAAAAAAAAAAAAAAAAACGCAATTCACAAGCACGTATTGAACTGTGGATGTCGTACCAAGCGGTTCAATATTATATTGAGAATTGTGGCATCCCTAATCCACATGCTGTTTAGATCTCAGTAAATGTCATGCATTATTGTCTGTCATATTCATACATCTCTGTTTTGTCTCTAGGGTGGTCGCAGTGCGTTATCTCTGGCGACAAAGGCCTCTCACACAGAGATAGCAGACCTCCTGAAAGCCCGCACAGAAACCAAGAGCTCAGACAAATGCAAGGTATCTTAGAGCGGAGCTTGGACATCTCAGTCATTTATACTTTAATAAACATTCATGTACAGTTACTGTTAAAAAGATCAGCAATAAAATGGCAATATTATAAAGTCAAGAAGACAGTAGTTTGCTAATATAAAGCTTGTCAATGTAAATATGACTGTCTCAAAACTGGCAATAACAGTTAAATGTGCATCTTTCCTATAAATTCCACTCAGATCAGAAAATATATTTCGTAACCAACCCAGTTTCATTCTTTTTCACCTTATGTCAATAAATAAAACTATTCTATAAAACTAGTCCAAATCCTTTGGGTGGTTGACTGTGTATTTTAACACAAGCTGCATATCCACTGAATGCCACACAAATCTGACATCTTCAAAGCAGCATGATTTGCTTATCTAGAGGATTCATTTCAGTACAGTAAATCATCTGAAGAGAATTCTTTAACATTTACATTGCAGTTCTGTGTCATCATGAAGGTTTATTCTTTGCATGCATTGTAAAGGTGCTGTATGTTATTTTTTGACTGTACTTAAGCATGAAAATATCATAATATGTTCGCAGATATTTAGTAAACATGCTAAATTCACATAGTTGTTTCTCTGAAAAACAAGCATACAGCCAGTTAATCTACTTTGAAATGTGCATTCGATGTCGGAATATCAGGCTGAATCCAAAAACGCCCCCTATACCCTCATTCACTATTCCCTACATTAGGCCACTAATACAGTTCACTTGAAGGAGTAAATGAAAACAAGTGAGTGAATTCAGACACTGGGTGCAACGGAAGGACTGCCGCTTTTGCATAATTTGCGCTGGCTGTTTAATTATCATTTGAAACTGGCAGCTCCAGTAAGAAGAAAGGATTTATCTTGAACGCTATCATGGAAATGACATGTAAACCCTAATTAAACAATTTAATAATCAATTTACAATAAATTTTTACCTGTATTGTATTAGGCTGTACGGCGTGGACGAGCGCTTTGTAAAATGAATGGATGGACGATTCAGCCGCAGGCGCCATCTTCTGGCGAAACGCGGCAATTCATTCGGCGTGCGACTCTCACAGTGCATTATGGGTGTTCTCTAGCCATTGAGCATATATTAGTTGTATACTCGTTATTGCTGTGCACTATGGGATTGAATGAGTGCACTCGATATGTCCACTAAGGTTTCGGACACCACTAAAAATGGCTGTCCCCTCAAATAGTGCCCTATTTAAGGGTATAGGGGGTGATTTCGGACACAGGGTCTGGCCCTGTCCCAAATAGTACACTTCATGTGCACTTGCGGTCTTGCGGGCTTACAATGGCCGCCGCGTGTGCGTGTCTGTTAAGTCCACGAGACCGTAGGGTGTCCCATTCGTCATTTTAGCTCTCAGAAGGGTGCTCACGAGCGCCCCCTTTGGGGCCCGCTATGCACCCTCGATGCGCACTTCTGCCGAGCCCACACTGGGACGAGCTCAGCAGCAGACTTCTACCCGACAGTCAAAGTGGCATTACGTCACGAAAGTGTGAACTCAGAGGAACACCGCGAGGGTTTAGGGTGTGATTTGGGACAGGGCCTCTGTTTTTGATTTGCTCTGTGTGACTCCGCCCAATACCAATTCACCCAATAGTATTTCTACACCCAGGGTTGCCACTTGGCGGAAAACAGCATATCACAGCTATGGAAGCCAGCAAACGAACTGCGTCAGAGCTCAAAGATTCTACTTGAACTAAAAAGGCATCATCTAAAAAGTTTTATGACCAGAGGCATATTAAAACACGGATAAAACAACTCTACAACTTACAGGGTGTAAGGCTCATCGTCTTCCATTGTCAATTTTTGCCAAAGCAAAGATTCGTCACCCTTAGTTACTGTTGCTACGTCCAACAAGCCATGGCGCTCTCACACCACACATCATGTTATCACGCAGTGAAAAATACATTGTGGAGCAAAGAGGAAACAATGCGCCGTCAGATAAGACAGAGCAGGTTACGTCTGGAATGAAAGTCTCAGCGTTCAGATTTTGTAATTTTGCAATAAATTCAAACAATAAATACTATTTTGTGGCTCTTTAATGTGTCGTGACAGATTGCTGTAGTGCCTCAGTTCAAGCAGCACGTGACCCGATAATCTCTTCCTCTTTACTAGTTATAGCACGAAATAAACAAGAATGAACATCAGAAGGAATCTTGTTTCAACCACGGAAAGACATCAGTACACACCATTTTTCAAGTTCAAGTCCACAGACGTTAATCTACTATACTGTCTGGTTTGTTTTTCGGACAAAATGGCAGATTTGGCGTTATCATTGCGTGTCCTCAATCTGGCAACCCGCGTGAGCTTTGAGTCTGAGGGCACATCCACACGAAGCCAGAGCTTTCCCTATCCAATCTTTTTTTTCCTCGTTCTAAAAAAAAAAAATCCGTAAACACAGCATCGTCTCAAGAAATATCTGCGTACACACGAAACCACTGAAACCGACTCAAAACGATGTAGTATACATGCCAGACAAGTATGTGTCGCTGTAATTCTGCCACAGAAATACACTAAAAATGGAGAAGAAGACTTGGAGCATGCGCATAAACCTTGCACGCTGTATACAAATATTTTTGCTCTAGTAATTTTTGATTTTGCTTTAGTAAAGCTAATAGGCTCAGTAGCTTCTGCAGCACAAACACAAGCTTGTAGTCCGCCGTTGTTGCTGTTACGTGACGTAGCGGTGTCTGACTAGGGTCAAGACGTGGGGTGATGACATCATCGTTTAACAAAATAACAGATTGGCTGTACACACGAAAACACAAGGGTGTTGTTTTCAGATTTATCCACTCTGGGACCCGGTTTCTAAAAATAGCGGATTCAGGCTCCAAAAACACCGGATCCGTCTGGACGAAATGCCGATATGACACAAAATTTTTACGTATACAGCTAAACGCGCGTCTCCATGTGGGCGGGCCTGAGGAGGAGGAGTGGGTGGGAGAAACAATATTTTGAATTTGGACTGCAGTACCCATTTCAACCGCTAGCTGTCAATGTTACATACTGCACCTTTAAAGCCATATCAGTTTAAACTTCTGATATACTGTTGTTTTGAACGCTTACATCAAGTATGTCTCGTGAGTACTAAACTAAGTTCTCTTTCACAGCTTATTGCACTTAAACAAAAACACAGCAAGTTCACATAAACACGGTCGGTTATGTATGTGAAGGTAAACAGCTGGGAAAGAAATCGCATATAAATATTTGATCTATGTATTAAAGTGACAGCAGTGTAATATAAGTGCGTACTGCTGTCTATGCTGTTAATATGAATCAGAAAATGAAAAACAGAAAATCACTCACTGCTCTTTACTGAAGACCTTTAGTAGTAGCTTTATAAGAATAAATTTCTTACTTGAATGCTGATTTTAAGTGCTGTAGCGAGGAGATAAACATGGCTGTGTACAGCTCACTCAGGGGAGGAGCTAAGCTAATAAGTAGATATAGTTACCAGTCGTGGGCGGGGCATGTGCCTGTGTGATGTCACATTGGAATACATTCCTGAACACTTATTTTGAGACTTCTGATTTAAGGGGAAAATATGTTTAACACATAATAGAGTGGATGTGTACACTGTGGAAACATAATTATGTTCAAAAACAATATAAAAGTGAATTTTGCATAATAGATCTCCAACATGCTATACCAAAAACATTGAAAATAATTTTTATGTTCAATGAAACACAAATGGCAGTTTTTAATTCATTTTTTTTTTTATATCAATCTATAGAGAGACATAAAGAGAAACATTTGAAATACAATGAGACCATTATGCCACAATAAAGTTTATGCAGTGAGAGTTCAGACAATTAAAACAATTTATTGTTGGTAAAAATCACAAAACACGGCACGAAAAAAGAAAAAAGTTTTGTGTTTGCAAAATATAGTGCTATAACAATGCAATTTAATAAAACTACTCAAAATATTCTATATTAAAGCCTTAAAATTTAAAAAATAAAGATTGAAATAAATTCAAAAAGTAAAAAAAAACTAACAGAATGAATAATACCAACAGCACAGAAACACTTTGGCAGAATATATTATCTTACCATCAGAAAACAATGATAATATATTCCAAATAAATTAATTCATAGGCAATACTGTTATCTAAAATCTTATATACATTTTTACAAAGGTGTATCAAAAGTATTTGTATAAAAACATATTTACACTTCGCATTCCATAATCACATTGCACACAGATTTAACTTTCACACCACAAATACATGCATTCTGAACGCATATATTAACATCCACACACACACACACACACACACACAGGATATTTAATGCTCCTCTCTTATGAGGGAGCCTTCATTTGAAATCCTAGAGCGATGCTCTTTATTATTAATGAGGTAACATCTGATCGCAGAATCTGTGAATGAACAGCTGGTCTTCCTGACCACCCTAATGAGAAAAAAAATGTCAGTTTGTCTGACAATTTATTCAAAGGATAGGACACCCAAGACACCCTCATAATATAAAGTATAAGGGAAAAAAGCTTCAGCGAGTAAATCTCACGAAACATGTTCAGGTCATTATTTGACCAAAATCAAAAGAAAGAAATAAAAAAATATATGTTGCATAAATAAAACAAAGTGTACTTTTAGGACCAATAAGATTTGTAAAATGTATTGCAAGATGTAAAAACTTTTGGCCCTGGTAATTCTCATTTCCTTACTATGAAAACAATGTTTTTTTGTTTTTAATTTAGTAATATTTAAAATTTAATTAATCACATTTAGTAAAATGTATAATTTATAAAATATTAAATAAAAAAAACAAATATATTGAATATTACATTTCATATATTTGTTGTTTGTTATTTGTTTTTTTAATTATCTATCTATCTATCTATCTATCTATCTATCTATCTATATAATAGTACTAGTAAGATAATTTAATAATATTAAAGAAATATTTCTTGAGCAGCAAATCAGCATATTTGAATGATTTCTAAAGGATCATGTGACTCTGAAGACTGGCGTAATGATGCTGAAAATTCAGATTTGCATCACCGGAATAAATTACATTTTATAAAAGATTAAAATAGAAAACAGTTATTTTAAATTGTAACTTTATTTCACAATATTACAGTTTTTACTGTATTTTTTGACCGAATAAATGCAGCCTTGGTGAACATAAGAAACCTCTTTCAACAGTAGTGTGTAAATACAGTACATATTTCCCCATTTCAAAAGGCTTTTCTTTGTGCAAAATATTTTTCTTTCTTTTCATTCTGGGGTGAAATGTGACTGGCATGTTTGGTGACCTGGACAACAATACTACTATCCCAACATTTGCTGACAATGCAGCCCTCTAAAAAATCTGTCTCTTACCAAAGCCCCTCTTTATGCATCACATCTTATGTTAATCTACATAATGTATTTGCACGCAAGATGCATTTTATGTTTTCATAATTTTTTCTCGACGGTGAATGCATTGTACACATAATGTCCTACTTCAATTATCATTGCTAAACTGAAATCCCTCAATGCTGACACTCTCTATTCCATCTCCCTGAGACGCAAGAAACATTCCCACAGCGCATGACAGAAGAATGCAGAGGTACCACGTTTTAAAAACAACCGCACGAACAAATGTCCAGCATTTGGAATGTATGGCCTTTGAGAGCGTCTTTAAAGGTCGATACGTCTATTACAGTGAGGCATGAGCCCTAAATCTGTCTGCACATATGCCAGTCCAAAACTTTTTTCCAATGTTAACGTGATTCTAATGTGTTTAGACGTTAACATAGTGCTTATGTAACCTTTAGCTCAGCGCCTGTAGCTATGCTAGACCCTTGGGGCGACTGTCAACTTATGTTCTCCCTGTTTCTCCGCTCAGAAGACAAACAACAACAGGAAAGTGAATGTACTGTAAGTAGGTGGCACGGCAAACCCGTTCAGCATGCAACAACTCCAATAACAGAAACAGATGTGTGAAACTGTGACATTTCATAAATTACCACTGGTTTACGCCTAGCGAAACGCAGCTCGGTGTGAACCACAAGAGACCCCGTGGTGCAACGTTCTCGCGCTGACCCTCGTAACATCTATTCCAACTTGGTGTGATTGCACTAGGGTTTGCTCCACTAACAGGGTACTCTGCCAATTTCAGTGTCTTGCCAAGTTGTAGCTGCAGTGCGGTGGAGCCCCACAGAGACCCGTCCGCAGCCTCACCAGACAGTCGTGTCATTTCAAGGACAATGGCTTTTCATTTGCATGCGAGTGATGAATATAGAATGTCTCTCTATGGAGTAAACACACCTATGGGTGTGTTTACTCCACATGGGATAATATTGATGAAATGGACAAAACATGTCAAATTTGTGAATATTGTACTGATATCTTTCTTTGTTGGGTGGGTTCTAAGTTGAAAACCTAAAATGTGTTTCCTCAAAGTGAATAATGAACATCCTAGTGTTAAGTACTGTTAAATTCAACATGAAACAACATTTGCAGCCCATTTTACTCTTATAATGGCATATGCAGTTTGAATATTTAATGAGGAAAAAGGGTGGGACTTGATTTTACGCATTGGGAATTTAATGGATAATGAAGAGCGGTCTCCATATTAAAGTTGTTAGTGCCATCAGCCAAAAACAAATGTTTCAGAATCAGGGCAAGTTTCTGAAGACAAACGTTTTTTTCTTTGGAATCATATGAACAGATGAATCGCGTACAGTATGACCAAACAAGTGAATAAGTCCATTTTGATTTCATGTTAACGCCACTTGTGTTATTATGTTTGTAATGAGGCAACTGGTCAAAGATTATTAAAATAAAACAGTTATACTGTATAATATGTGATACAGGTAAACAGTTTTAGAAATGTGGTTCATTTTTTTTAAACTACTTGAACTGTTTATACATTTTATCATTATTAAACAATAAAAAATAAAAAAGTCATGACACCAAGCAGTTAAAATCGCTTGTTTGCCATTGAGCCATCAAAGATCTACATTCGGAAGTGTTACTTTGTAATTGTGTCTAATTTTTTTGTTAAGCCTATTAAAAGGTACTTTATGATGTAATATATTTAATTGAAATGGTAATAAATTGATTTCTGTCATGACAACTCTCTGAGGGATTGGCATGGCAATGTTCATGACAATGTTAATGTATTTGGTCTTGGCGGAATAGATCTGCTACGCTGCTGCTGCGGCAGAGCAAGTACTGAGACTTGCTACTGCCAATACATCCACAACATGCTGCTGTAAGCATGTAAGAAATACTGCCGCTGCACATATAACACATATGAATAACCCCCATCTAGCATACATGAATCACCCCATAGCAGATCTATACAGGTGGAGCTGGGGAAGGTGGAGGGTTTGCCGAAGATGAACGAAGGTCTTATGGGTTTGGAACAACACGAGGGTGAGTAATTACGGTAATGACAGAATTTTCATTTTGGGGTGAACTAACCCTTTAATGTATTACTTTAAATTTACCATAATATAATTTCTATCATGACAGCTCTCGGAGGGATTGGCATGGTAATGTACACGACAATGTTAATGTGTTTGGTCTTGGTGGAATAGATCTGCTGCTGCCAATACATCCACAACATGCTGCTGTGAGCATGAAAGAAATACTGCTGCTGCACATATAACATATATGAAATAACCCCCATGTAGCATACATGAATCACCCCATAGCAGATCTATACAGGTGGAGCTGGGGAAGGTGGAGGGTTTCTGAAGTGCGCAGCAAACTGCTACAGCAAACAAAAGTAGGTATTTGAATATTGAGCAGTAAGCTCATTGGCTACCGATACAGGAGAGAGCCAATCAGCTGCCATGTGAAAATAATGTCGACAGGTCAGATTGAGCTAGATCTATCGGACTGCACCATCTAGAGTTTCATGTCAGAACTCTGTATTACAGTTTTTCTCAGTCACTTTGGTGCATTTCTCGACTCATCCTTAATATTTGCAAAGAAGTATGCTGTATTGAAATGCAGAAGGCTGCACTTCTTATGTATGTCATATATCCATTTCAAAAGTACAAATTTACACATTATTGTATGTGGGATATTGATTGAAAGAGACTAGATAGGATTCACAGTTACACTTTACTAGTGGTCTGACAAAAACAAAAAAACAAACAAAAAAACCTTAACAACGTCAGATGATGTGGAGGCTGAACAAGTAGTTTTGAGAATTTCATTTCTGATCTGAGAAATCCACCAAAGCGACTGAGAAAAACTGTAATTCTAATTAATTGGTTAATTAGGTAATTTTGAAAACATGCCTGATAACTAAATGAAACAAAGCCATGTTAGTAATAAGGATCAAACATTTTCTTTTCTCTCTGCAGCTTTAGCTAAAGTGCTGGACATTTCTAGTCTAGTAGACCAGTTTCAATATTTAAGTAGTAAATTTAATACCAGTTACAGTGCTAGATTTGTCTGTGATTATAAGATAAATTTAAATAATGCAGGTTTGAAAAGGCTTGCCCTGGTGGTTCCAACCAGCAATAAAATGATGCTTCAAATGGATCAAATGAATATGGGTCTGAAATGTCTAAACCTTTTGTTTAGTAATCAATCCAGCGTTTGCACTCCAGCGGACTTCAAAACCTGGGCATGTTAAGAATGATTCAGCTCACTAAATGCCATTCAGTTCCTGCATAGCTTGGCAGCCACGTGTCGGTCCTGCTCCCTGCGGTCACAGTATTTCCAGAGTCGTCCTCCCTTTCACTTAGTACTAGAGATGGTGGGCTGCTCTGTGTACCAGTGTGTGGCAGGGTCTGGTAAACCGGTCCCCAGAGGCAGAGCGATGAATGGCGGGCACGTCCCTGTGCCGACTGGCGTCATGCTCACCACGGGCCCAGGGTAAGGGTGGTGATGGCCAGCGAGCCTGTCAGTCCGTCCGATGTGAATCTCATCCTCCTCCGTCTCTCCTGTGGTTTTGCGGTAGACAGGGTTGTCGAAGTTCATGCTTTTGGTGCTGTTCCTCCTCCAGTTGCGGTAAACGAGGTAAACGCCAGCACACACCACTCCAAAGACCACTGTGGCAACAATAGGAACTGCATGTGTTTAACATACAGCCGTGAGGGGACATGTTAACACACGCTTGACTGGAGGTGGAATGACTGACAAGACAGCCAGTGTGACAAACAAAAACAGACATGAGACAGATAGATAGATAGATAGATAGATAGATAGATAGATAGATAGATAGACGGGCAGACAGACAGACAGATAGATATATAGATAGACAGACTGACAGGCGGACAGACGGACAGACGGACAGACAGACAGACAGATAGATAGATAGATAGATAGATAGATAGATAGATAGATAGATAGATAGATAGATAGATAGATAGATAGATAGATAGATAGATAGATAGATAGATAGATAGATAGATAGATAGATAGATAGATAGATAGATAGACGGACAGACAGATAGACAGATAGATATATAGATAGACAGACTGACAGGCGGACAGACGGACAGACAGACAGATAGATAGATAGATAGATAGATAGATAGATAGATAGACAGACAGAGGTAAACAAGTGTAGAATTAAAAGAATAGTTCACACAAATATAGCAATTCTGTCATTTACTCACCTTTATGTTGTTCTAATCTCTTCCGTGGAACACTCTGTTCCTCAGAAAAAACTCTTACATAACTTCAAAAGATTTGAAGTACAGTATATTGCATGAGTCGGATGAGACGGATCACTTTTATGGTGCTTTTTGTTATTTTTAAGCTCTTGTAGACTTCAGGTGTGAAAAAGAGCAGAATGAACATTCTACCTAACATCTCCTTTTGTGTTCCACAGAAGTCAGTCAGTCATACCGATACGAAACAACATGAGGGCGAGTATTGTAAATGATGACAGAATTGTTATTATTGGTGAACTGTTCCTTTAAATTGGCTGGATTGAAACTAATGATAGTAAAAGAGAACATGAATAGCAGATGAAAACTGAAACAGAGCAAAAAGGGTTGATAGGGAATGAAGAATAAGGAAGAAGGGCAAAAACTCCATACAAACTGATCAGAGAAAATTCTTATATGGCTCTCAGAAATCTTTGTATGCTGCTAAAAACCTAACCTAATAAAAATCAAATAAATCATAACATCTGCTCTCTTTGCAATGCAGCAGGCTTGATGTTAGTCAGCTTTGTTGTAATATTACCAAGGGAGTTTCTTTCTTGGCTCACAAACACAATAAAGTAGAATTAATCTAAAGTCATTCAGACAGCACACACACAAACTACATCTCCATTCAGCTGAGTCTGCTGCCCTGGGCTCTCTCACCTTGTAGTTAGAGCATTGGTGAGCAACACTGGTGTCAAAATGTGCTCAAAATAGCACAGAGCAGGACCTTAGCGGCCCCAGAGAGGCAGATGATGTACATACCTATGGGAATTACAACTCCAAGCACTGCCACTGTCAGATTACGGCCAAGGAGAAACAACTCATTGCCAGCTGGAGGAAAATAAAAGAGAGGAGCATCACTTACACCTTCAGATACACATTTGTTTAACATGTTTAGTCAAACAAGTTGATGTGGCTGATTGACCCTTCTCTATGCTGCCCAAAACAAAGTGACCAACTGCAGCTTGGTGACTATTACTAGCATTAGATAGTGCAAGCTTTCAGGCTTTCTCAGTATGACCAAATGGATGAAAAGTTTGGAGGGAGGAGTATACAGTAGGATACAGCAGTTTAGGTCACATTATCATCTAATGCAGGGGTGTCAAACTCAATTCCTGGAGGCGTGGGGCCCTGCAGAGGTTTGTTCCAAACCTGCTCCAACACACATACCATGTAGTTTTCAAATAAGCCTGAAGGACGTGATTAGTTGGATCAGGTGTGTTTAATTAGGGTTGAATCTAAACTCTGCAGGGCTCCGGCCCTCCAGGAATTGAGTTTGACACCCCTGATCTAAAGGAACATTACAGAATGTAAAAACTGTTAAAACATTAATTGAGCATTAATTAAACAGGCAATTGAGGGGGCCCCCAACAGCTGACCATCTGAACAATCGAAAATGTCATTATTAATATAACGGAGCAATACATCTGCATCCCCCCTGGGGGCACCCTCTCGCGTTACGCTAGATGTGCTTGCTTTTTCCTCGTGATGCATCGGCCGCCGTTTTCAAACTGGCACAGCTACTCGTGCATTTGCTAATTTAAACATGAAGAGGACTTATCCGTCTGGCAGCCAGAAGCGGAAAAAAGCAAGAAGAGGAAGAAAAGAGGAAACATGAC